AGAAGTCCACCCCCCGCTGACTGAAGCCTCTCGCCACATAACGCGCCTTGAATACTGGTGGTAATCCAGACGGCCGCTTCACCTTGTAGAGCCATCGGCCACTCACGGCGTTCGTCCCAGGTGGTGGGACTGCGTCGTCGTAGGTGTCTGTGGACCTATAAGATGCCATCTCTGTCTCCTCAGCTGCTATCCAGTACGAGGCCCCACGGTCCCGGGACCGCCTCAGCGTGAGTGCGAGGGATCGGGATGTCAAGAGCATCTGGATCCCCCTAAGGGGCAAGCAGCATGTCGCAGAGATGAGGAACAGCGGCCGCAAGGAAACCAAGCTCAAACTTCCCGTCCTCTAGGACCTCAAGGGGAACGATAGGAGCACCTCCAGAGGACAGAGAACGAGCAGGGCCACTCACCAAGTGAGCGGCGTAGTCAAGGCTGGGAAGAGGCAAAGCCAGCGATAGTGGTAACAAGTGCTGAGACAGACGACAAAGGTGCAGTCGGGTGAGTGACCAACGCGGACAAAACACGGGAGACGACAAGACGGGAGGCACAGAGGTAGTCGGACAACGGGTCGTGAAGCACAGTGAATGGCGACTCAGGAGGCTGTGGAAGGACTAGAGGAGGTGGAACACGAGAGCGGAGAACAAGGTGAAATGGGCCGTCTGCACGGTAACGAGACCGACGTGGCTCTGGAGACACAGCACGACTGAGGGGAGAACGACGAGTCCACTGAGATGAAGGAAGGGACTGAACGGGGGGAACAACAGGGGACGGTAGGGGACCACAAACCAATCGTGCAGGTGCTGGGTCAGGCAAGTCGCGCAGTCGCAGTCGCTGCTGCTCCGCCTCCTCTGGCGTCTGCTGCGACGGTAACTGTCCCTGCTGCTGCTCCTGTGTCTCCTCCCCTGCCCTCTCCTTCTGCGGCTACAGCTGCACCCACTGCTGCGACCGGGACTCCTGCACGACCCTCTCTTGCTGCGGCCGTGACTCCTCCCCTATCATCTCCTGCTATGTCTGCAACTGCACCCCCTGCTGTGGCTCCCTCTCTACTCTCTCCTGCCGCTGCGACTGAGACTGCTCCTGCTCCTGCTGCGGTTGCTGCTGCTGATGCTGTGCCGTCTCAAACCGCTCACGCTCCTCCCTCTCCAACCGGAGGAGACGCTGCTTACGGGTCAGGAAACGTACAGTGCGCGGTGTAGGTGCCACAGTGCCAGTGCCTCCATCTCCAGCACCCCCATAACTAGTACCTCCACCACCGACACCCCCGGGGCCTACAGTACCTCATGTAGGAACACCTCCAGGCTCCGCAGCAACCGGCCGCAGAGAAGAAGGAGGAGGGAAGTGCAGGACGGACAGGAAGCTAGGGGGTGACGCGGGGCAAGGCCGCCGACTCGAAGCTGCCGTGTCCTCCACGGGAGTGACCTCCACGCCCACAACCTCTGCACCCCCAGAGCCGACACCACCAGCTCCTGCAGCCCCAATAACCTCACCCTCCGCAACTGCACCTCCCGCACCCCTAGACATGACAGGGACTGGACGTTGCAGGGGGAACGTCTGCGGAGTGACGTACGACACACCTGACGGGGCAGGACGCAAAGGGGGGGGAGGGCTACCGGGGCAACTGGAGGGGGCTCAATGGTGAGGAACAGCAGGAGGGAAAAGACCTCAGTACCTCGGTGGGGGCGACTCCTGTACTAACAGACAGACTCATCGAACGTGACGTCCTAAGAACAAAGAACCCGCAGGTGATCGGGTCGTAGAACACCCAGCCGGAGGCGTCCAAAGGGAAGCCACGAAAAACGCATGCACGAGTGCGCGGAGACAACTTGTTTGCGCCAGGGGCGCGAACGTGAGCCAGACAACCCCAGACGCGGAAGTCTGCTGCTACGTCCGGTAAACCTGTCCAGAGGGAGACCGGCGTCATCCGCGGCCGTGCGTCACTAGGCCACAGATTCAGCTGGTGCGCGGCATAGGGGACTGCCTGAGGCCACAAGAACTGAAAGGCACCGGCATGGCACATGGAAGTCCGAGAAACCGCCATGACCAGGCCGATTCGTCGCTCGGCTACCCCGTTCTGCTGCGGCGAGGCTGGTAGCGTGTAAGACTTGTTATAGTCACAGTAGGCTTCAATGTGCCTAAAACGAAAGATATAATGCACAGTCGGATTTCTGCACAGCGGCTTTAAACGTTCATAGCGTCCTGGTCACAGCTTTAAATTACCTGATTCAACTTGGATCTGGAGCGTCTTAACGTCGCCTACAATAGACACTTTAGATCGCACGATTTCACCAAATATTGACGACACACTATGGCAGGCACTATAGTCTTAGAACACACAATAGGAAGAGTTACGAGTTGGGAATGACTCCCAGCTCCTACAAACCCCAAGAGCCGAGGTACAGTGATGTGGAACAGTGCCACACTGTCCCCAACCACGAAGGGTCTCGAAACTACCCTTCACTAGGGCCTACACCAAGTGAAATGTTACACTACACAAAGTAATGTAACTATCTTCAATATCTTGAGGTGTACCCTTTTCGCGGGCTTCGCGATCACTTGAATCTTGACACCAAGGCTCTGGTTCTTCACCACATCCTTGAGTTCTTGATGGGTCTGCTGCACACAACTGCGACACGCCAAACGTTCCACACACACGACAAAATAGAAACCGTGCACGAGACACACGGCAGAATAGAGACCGCGCACGGGACACAAACGACCGCGTGACACGCGACTAGCGATAACTCGCTATTGACTCGACACACACATTCGACATCATGACTCAACATTCACACACTATGATAAGCATGAAATATATATTATCCCATGCCCTCATACCATTCCATGCACACACGCATGCATGCATACGGACAACAAGCCGAGTGCAAACCGTAGGGTTGCACCAACAATACTGAATGACTCCCTGACCCTGACAGAACGTCTCTAGGCGAGTGGAAGAAAACTTACCACCACGGTTTGAGTGTAGGCAAAGCCCACACAGGCCCTGCGTGCCACCCCACGCTAGTAGCCACGGCTCGAGGACGGTAGGCACGTTGGCCTTCCGTCGCAAGGGGAAAACCGTGTTGTAGCGAGAATAGTCGTCCACCACAATCAGGAAGTAGCGCTCCTGACGTGGGCCAAGGACCGGGGAGGGGTCCCAAACGTCCAAGTGCAGGGTCTACAAAGGAGCCGTGGTGGGGGGGAACGAGGAGTAGTGAGGGGCAGCGTGCTGCCGACCCTCGACGCAAGGAGTGCACGGCGGCGCAGGCGAGCGAGGAAGCGGGGCAAGCGTCTCCTAGAGACCTGAGACCAGACGGTGACGTGCCATCCTACTGAGACGTGGGAACGACGGGTGACCTAGACGGTGGTGCCAGAGGACTGACGGATGGGTGAGTGACCGACAGTCATACGACACAGCAGCTACCTGACCTGACCTGACCTGGCCTGACCCAGTGTGGTGGGACCCAGTGTATAGTGAGTACAGACCAGAGCCCGGTTCCCAGTGAAAAGTGGCCAGAGGGGCCCCAGTGGTACCGACTGTGCAGGAGGCAACAGGCTCGTCCACTGGGAAAGTAGTAACTACTCCTAGGTCGTGGAGGTGACTGACACCCACCAGGTTCCTGGAGAACGAAGGGGTGTAGTAACATGTGAGAAACCCAGAGGAAGTCGCCGGACATGGGAGAGTGGTGGTGATGGAGGCAACTACAGGTCCCACAGAGGGGTCAGCCAAGGCGACAGTGACTGGAGTGCGCAGTGGTGTGAGGTCAGTACAGTCGTGAAAGATATAGCTGGACGCTCCAAAGTCAAGGGTGAAGGAAAGCTGTGCAGTCTGTAAGGTCGCACCCGAGCCAGCTACAAAGGCTGGTACTAGACTATTGGTAGCTGCAGCTCCTACACAAAGACCCTAAGAGACGCCTGGACTGGAAGCAACACACGCACCAAGGCTTGAAACACATGTCTCTACTCGTGCAGCCGCGAAAGGTCCTGGACCAGGTAGGTGAGACTCAACTGGTGCTGCAGTGCGCTGGCAAAGTCGCGAGGGCCAGTGTGGTGTAATAGCAAGAGGACCAAAACGCTCGCGGTGGAGGTCGTTGAGTCGACGGTAGTAGCTGGACGCAGAGTGGTCAGGACTCCAGCAGTTAGTGTCAGCACCAGTGCATGTCAGGACCCGGTACCCACAGGGGCCGACGTCTCGCCCTCGCGTCACTTCCGCCCTTTCGTCTCCAACCTCGGTAGTGCGTGCTTCGAGTGCTGCGGTAAGGAGTGCACAGTAGTTCATTTATTTTCTACTATTCGTAACACCCCCCTTCACTCCTGGCCGTAGCAGGTCTTGACCCGCTTGACTACTCTGCTGAGTTCGGAGCAATGCTGATACTGCGGAGCCACTGCTGGGGGCTCCACACTTTGGACCCGCAGCTGCTGTAGAACTCTAGTACATGCCATGTGAGTAGCTAGAAACGAAGGGGGGGGGGGGGAAGGGGGGGGGGGATGCGCTGGCTGTAGTCTAAGCTGCTGCTGGTGCGCTGGGGGCAGCCTGTTCTGCCTGGTTCTGCTGGGGCAGCCTAAGCTGTTGCTGGACAGGTGGGGCTGCTAGACGGGTGGAGCTGCTGGACAAGTGAGGCTGCTGGACAGGTGAGGCTGCTGGACAGGTGGGGCTGCTGGACAAGTGGGGCTGCAGGACAGGTGGGGCTGCTGGACAGGTGGGGCTGCTGGACAGGTGGGGCTGCTGGATAGGTGGGGCTGCTGGACAGGTTGGGCTGCTGGACAGGTGGGGCTGCTGGACAGGTGGGGCTGCTGGACAGGTGGGGCTGCTGGAAAGGTGGGGCTGCTGGACAGGTGGGGCTACTGGACAGGTGGGGCTGCTGGACAGGTGGGGCTGCTGGACAGGTGGGGCTGCTGGACAGGTGGGGCTGCTGGACAGGTGGGGCTGCTGGACAGGTAGGGCTACTGGACAGGTGGGGCTGCTAGACAGGTGGGGCTGCTGGAAAGGTGGGGCTGCTGGACAGGTGGGGCTACTGGACAGGTGGGGCTGCTGGACAGGTGGGGCTGCTTGACAGGTGGGGCTGCTGGACAGGTGGGGCTGCTGGACAGGTGGGGCTGCTGGACAGGTGGGGCTACTGGACAGGTGGGGCTGCTGGACAGGTGGGGCTGCTGGACAGGTGGGGCTGCTCTACTGACGCATTTCTTGCAGTTGCTAGCACTGATAGCACGGTTCTAACGGCTGCTGGCGCTGCTAACACGTTTCTAGCAGGTCTGGGGCGACTGCTAGCACGTTTCTAGCAGGTCTGGGGCGACTATTTCCAGGTAGGGCGACGGGTTTCAGGTCTGGTGGCGGTTAAGGTAGCGGGCTTCAGTTCGTGGGGCGGCGGTTTTCTGCTCGTGGGGCGGCAAATCGCGGGTGAGGCCACGGCGAACAGGCTGGGCGGCGGGTAAGGCAGCGGGTGGGGCCGCGTCTAACAGTTGGGGTGGCCACTACTGTTGGTGCAACCCTACGGTTTGCACTCGGCTTGTTGTCCGTGTGCGTGCATGCGTGTGTGCATGGAATGGAATGAGGGCAAGGGATAATATATATTTCATGCTTATAATATTGTGTGAATGTTGAGTCATGATGTCGAATGTGTGTGTCGAGTCAATAGCGAGTTATCGCTAGTCGTGTCCCGCGCAGTTTCTATTTTGTCGCTTGTGTGTCTCGCGCGGTTTCTTTTTTGTCCTGTATCGAACGTTCGGCGTGTCGCAGGTGTGTGCAGCAGACCTATCAAGAACTCAATGTTGTGTTTGTGATGAAGAACCCGAGCCTTGGTGTCAAGACTCAAGTGATCTCGAAGCTCGCAAAAAGGGTACACCTCAAGATAATGCAAATAGTTACATTACTTTGTATAGTGTAACATTTCAGTTGGTGTAGGCCCTTGTGGTGGGTAGTTTCGAGACCCTTCTTGGTTGGGGACAGTGTGGCACTGTTCCACATCACTGTACCTCGGCTCTTGGGGTTTGTAGGAGCTGGGAGTCATTCCCAACTCGTAACTCTTACTATCTTGTGTTCCAAAAAACTAAAGTGGCTGCCATAGTGCCGTTCGTTCAAACCGACGGTGTGTCGTCAATACTTGATGAAATCGTGCGATCTAAATTGCGTATTGTAGGCGACGTTAAGACGCTCCAGATCCAAGTTCAATAAGGTCATTTGAAGCTGTGACTAGAACTCTATGAACGTTTAAAGCCGTTGTGCAGAAATCCGACTGTGCACTCTATCTTTCGTTTTTAGGCACATTGAAGCCTATTGTGACTATAACAAGTGGTATCAGAGCCCCTTGGAGCAGCTACGACAATGGCTGGACCTGAAGAAAGGGGGGACAGAGGTGCTGGAGGCAGTGGAGGACCCCAAGCACAAGATCAACCCCGTGGTTCAGTCATGGCGGCCGCGCAACCTACTCTTGGACCTTCAAGGGATGAACCAAGAGTGTTTGGGCTTGACAAGTTCAACGGCGACAACTTTGCTGAGTGGTCCTTCAGAATGGAGAACGTGTTTGACCACTATGACCTGCTGGAGGTGATGGAAGGAACGGAGAAGCGCCCTGAGAACGACCCGGAGAAGAGCCCGTGGGTGCGGAAGAGCGCACAAGGCTACCTCCTACTAGGGCAAGCGTTGGGGAGCAGCCAGATCCGTCACATCAAGCCATTCCAGCGTGAACCAGAGAAGGGACCAAAGGCATGGGCTGCTCTCAAGGGTGTACACACTCCTGCAACAGCGGCGGTAGCGGTGGTGTTGGAACGGCAAATGGCGACACTACGGATTGACGAGGATGAACCGGTTGAAGAAGGGGTGCAGAAATTCTTCGACTTGTTGACGCGGCTTGAAGGAGCAGATTTGAACTACAGTGAGCTCCAGAAGAAGACCAAGTTTCTGGCCCTACTCCCGGAATCGTGGTCCTCGCTCATCATCAACTTGAACCGTGATCTGCCCCGTCTCTCGCTTGAAGACGTGAAGCGCGCGATCCTTCAAGAGGACTTCCGCCGTCGTGAGTTGGTGAGTGCGGATGGCGCTGGGGCAGCGAGCGTCGGCCGTGGATATGGCCGAAGAAGAGGCAGAGGACGAGGGGGAGGAAGGTTTGGTGGCAGCAACTTCAGTGGAGGTCGCGGAAATGGCGGATACGGCAACGACGACAAGATCTACGGACGCGGTCGCGGCCGATTCAACGGCGAATGTCACTATTGCCACAAGAGCGGACATATGTGGGGCAATTGCTTCAAACTCCCTGATGGTTGGACCCCTGCTCAAGGCCAAGAGGGTAGAGGAGCAGGAGGAGGGAGAGGAAGAGGCCGTGGAGGCCGTGGCGATCGCGGAGGCGGTGCTGCAAACATGAAGAGCGAAGATAACGACAAGGACCCGAGCGGCGATCGGTACCCGGGTCAATTCTACTTTGTGTCAACGCAAGCACCGGCAGCACCAGAGAAGGATGAAGACTTTGAAGAGCCTGCAGCTGTGGGAAATGTCACCCTACACCCCCTGGACTACTGGGTGATTGATAGCGGCGCTACCTATACCATGACACCTCGCGCGGACTTGCCCACCGAACTTGAACCGTCACCGGTGAAGCATGTCACATCGGCTTTGGGGCAGCGAGCAGAGGTGAAAGGCATGGGCAAGACCATGTTCAAGGGTGCTGATGGGAAGATGGTGGGCCTCAAGAACGTGCTTTGGGTGCCCAGCCTTGCTGCGAACCTGATTTCCGTGCGGCGGTTGGCAAAGGCCGGCATGGACACGAACTCGAAGGGAGCCAAGACCTACACCGCGAGGCTTGGCGAGCGGATCCTTTGGGACCTTCACGAGGATAGGGACGTCTACAACAAGATTTGGCAGATCCCTGTGGTCCCAATGCCTAAAGAGAGGCAAGTGGCAGCAAGCGTCAGCACCAAGGTTGAAGCGGTTGGTAGCGGCGATGGCGCGAACGGTCGCGTTAACGAGAATGAGTCCAACAAGTGGAATCTTGGAGGGACCAGCAAGCAGTGTGAACCAAAGGAGAGTGGTGCAGCATCCAAGGAGAAGAAAAAGGGTGCGGAGAACCCCGAGGCAGCAGTGAAGGAGGAGTACGGAGAGAGCATGTGGGGCGCTATTGCGAGCGCGGCATTCTCCAACCCGACTTCGGCTATGGGGGAGTGCGATTGGCTCGCCTTGCATCGGCGAATGGGGCATGTGGCCCTGCCTATCTTGCAGCAGCTAGTGAAGAATGGAATGGTTGCTGGTATACGTGTGAAGGGGGAGCCCGATGAGGTGCTTGGCTGCCCGACGTGCATGCAAGCCAAGTTCACTCGTTTCCCGTTCTCTAGTTCGGAAGCAACGGCAAAGGCACCACTTGATGACGTGGTGATGGACGTGGTGGGCCCCCTGAAGCTTGGGGCTGCTGGAGCTGAATATTTCCTCACCATTGTGGATGTCTACACCCGCATGACCTGGGTGTACGTGCTGTCCAAGAAGAGCGACGTAGCTGAAACGGTGAAGACCGAATGGTTGCCGATGGTGGAGCGGCAACAAGACCGGCTTGTGAAGTCGATCCGCACCGATCGAGGGGGAGAGTTCCTGAGCAAGGAGTTCGGATTGTGGCTGAAAAAGAATGGGATAAGGCACTCCCTTACCATGCCATACTCCCCTGCAATAAACGGCATCGCTGAGCGAGCGAATCGCACAATCACGGAGACGGCACGTGGGTTGCTCATTGAAGCGGGGCTACCCGACTGTTTCTGGCCTGATGTGGTACGGAGTGCGTGCGTGGCCAAGAACAGAGCCTTGACTCATGTGGGAGCAGACAAATGGGTGCCCTATGTGGAGTGGCTAGGAAGGAAGCCAAAGGTGGATATGCTTCGGGTGTTCGGGTGCAGGTGCATGGCGCTCGTGCCTAAGCATCTTCGGCACAACAAGCTTGGTGCCAAGGCGATATGGGCCGTGCACTTGGGCATGGCTCAAAACAGCAAGGGGTGGCTTCTTTGGGACCCATTCACCAAGAAGTTCATGGTGAGCAGGGACTGCAAGTTTATGGAGAACCTTATGTACAAGGATTGGAAGGCGGAGAACGAGGCGAAGATAGGCGTGCGGTTTGGAGAGGTGAAGAATTCCGGTTTGGAGCATGTGGAGCTGCCTTTGGAGCTGAGCAGCGGCAGCACCACCACAAGGCAATCCTCCCTTGTGAATGGGGGAGAGGAGGCCAAGGATGCAGAGGAAGAAGAGGAGGAGGTGCAGCAAGTGAGCGAGCGTGCACCGACACTTCCTTCCCGCACTACGAGCGCTCCACGGATCCGTGCTACACCGCAGCAACGCCAAGGCCTTCAAGTCCCTGCAGCTGAGGAGGAAGGAAGGGGGAAGAGGAGAGTTCAACCCCCTAACAGGCTGACATATAATGCACCGGGAAAGCAATGCAAGACAGCCTTGGCCGGAGCGGCAATGATGGTCGGAGACGATGAGGAGAGTGACTACGAGAAATGTGTGTTCGTGTTCTTCTCCCCGGTGGAAATGCCGGGAGAACAAGCAACTCTCAAGGAGGCCTTGGAGAGCAGTGATGCTGAGGAGTGGAAGAAGGCCATGGAGTGTGAGCTGCAAAGCATTGATGAGGCCTTGGAGAGCAGTTATGCTGAGGAGTGGAAGAAGGCGATGGAGTGTGACACGTTTGAATTGGTGGAGCTACCGGAGGGACGTAAGGCGATAACGTCCAAGTGGCTCTTCAAGATCAAGTCGGACGCCGACGGCAAGATCGAGCGCTACAAGTCTAGGCTTGTAGCCAAGGGGTACCAGCAGAAGGAGAAAGTGGACTTCAAGGAGCTGTTTGCTCCTGTGGTGAAGCCGACGACGCTGCGGACCCTACTCGCGGGAGCCGCCATCAAAGGATGGGTGGTGAAGCAGATGGACATTGTAACGGCATTCCTCAACGGCATTCTAGAGGAAGAGATCTTCATGGCGCAGCCAGAGGGGTTTGACGATGGTAGTGGCAGAGTGTGGAAGCTGAAGAAGGCCCTCTATGGGCTGAAGCAGGCCCCTAGGCAATGGTACATGAAGCTGCACGAAGTGTTGGAGGAGATCGGCTTCACTCCCTCAACGGCCGATCACTCCTTGTTCATGCTTGGCGAGGGGGAGCAGAGGAGCTTCATGGTGGTGTACGTGGATGACATCCTCATCTTCTCACCCTCCTCTGACCTTGTGAAGGAGGTGATGCTGAAACTTCAAGACAAGTTCAAGTGCAAGTCCCTTGGTGACGTGAACTTCTACCTTGGACTCCACATTGAGCGTGACGTGGAGA